ACTGTTAGTGCTACAGTAGCACTAACTGCGGCAGTCACCAACTCGGTCAAATTCTTATCATGTTCTGTCACTATTGTACAAGACCATTACCGGAAGCGACGTGGGGAACCGAAGGAATTGTAAGCAAGAATACTAAGAGCTCCTCATAGATACCACATATATGAGAGAACTACTGTCTCCTCCATCATAACTTGTCTGCCATATTGAAGGTCGTAGTCTGCTCATACACAACCCTGTTATCACAGCCATAAAGCAACAGCAAACCGACAAGCATCATGGCCTCTCCAAAGGTGTGTAGCATTCCCACAACATCATGCAGCTCATCTGCATCCCAACATTCGACACCAGAGTCACTGACATGTTATCCTCTTCTGCAGCTTAGCGACCCTTCGCTCATCAAGAACGCATGCTACGTCAATGGACAATGGGTAGCTGCAAAGTCCGGCAAGGACTTTTCTGTCGAGAGTAAGCACCCCAACCAATACAGCCCCGGCCCAGTCTTGGGCATGATCGATATACTTGCAGTTATTCTAACTTTGATTTCTCTACAGACCCTGCAAGCCTTGAAAAGCTTGGAAGCTGTCCCGAGTTCGACGCAAATGATACCGAAGCCGCTATCGCTGCCGCTGACGCCGCATACAAAACATACCGCAAGACACCGGCACGACAGCGAGCCCGGTACCTCCGCCGCTGGTATGACCTCATGATGGAAAATGCCGACGATATTGCACGACTCATCACTCTTGAGAACGGCAAAGTTTGGTCGGATGCCAAGACAGAGGCCGTCTACGCTGCGAACTTCTTTGAATGGTTCTCAGAAGAGGCTCCTCGAATTTATGGCGAGACTATCGAGGCATCAAACCCATCATGCCGTCTATCAACGATCAAGCAACCCGTGGGTGTTTGTGGTCTCATTGCGCCGTGGAACTTCCCTGCCGCCATGATTACCCGCAAGGCTGGACCTGCGCTGGCTGCTGGCTGTACCGTTGTTATCAAGGCTCCTGCCGAGGCCCCTCTAACAGCTCTTGCACTCGCTGAACTAGCGCATCGCGCTGGTATTCCTGCCGGTGTTGTGAACATCATTACTGCGCTGGATAACACTGCTGAGGTTGGTAAAGTCCTGACGACCCATCCCAAGATCAAGAAGGTTTCGTTTACCGGCTCAACTGGCGTCGGTCGACTCCTCATGAACCAGTCTTCCTCAACCGTTAAGAAGCTGTCCTTTGAACTGGGCGGAAACGCCCCATTTATTGTATTTGAGGATGCAGATTTGGAAAAGGCTGTCAAGGGTATCATCGCCTCCAAGTTCCGAAACTCAGGTCAGACCTGTGTTTGCGCCAACCGTATCTTTGTGCATCGCAGCATTTACGACAAGTTCGTCCAGATGGTCCTCGACGTTGTCAAGACCTTTGTTATTGGAGACGGTTTCGGCGAGAAGACGACCCACGGTCCTCTTATCCATGGCCGTGCAGTGGCCAAAACTGCTGAGCATGTTGAAGATGCTATTTCCAAGGGAGCCAAGCTTATCCACGGTGGCGAGCGTCTACCAGATCTTGGACCCAACTTTTTCGGCCTCACAATGTTGACAGACATGACACCTGACATGAAGATCTTTAGCGAAGAGACTTTTGGTCCAGTGGCTGCTTTCTTTGCATTTGATACCGAGGAGGAGGTTATCGAGCTTGCCAATGACAGCGAAGTCGGTCTGGGAGGTTACTTCTTCAGTGAGAACGTGAACCGATGTTATCGAGTGGCAGAAGCTTTGGAAGTCGGTATGATTGGTGTCAACTGCGGTAAGTCTTCCTCAACAAATTTTTACGTGGCTTTACTAATATGAGAATTCAGGTGTACTCAGTGATCCTGCCGCACCTTTCGGTGGCATCAAGCAGAGTGGATTCGGAAGAGAAGGAAGCAAGTACGGTATCGATGAGTTTACAGTTACCAAGATGGTTATGACAAACATTGATCCATAAATTCGAGTTATTTAAAGGAAAATGTGGTTGGTAAAAGGTGGAAGCAAAATACCCAGATGAACGTTGTACAGGGGAATAGACCCCTATGAATGAACAAACAAATTCTTGATACTGAGGCGCACGTGCAAGCCGGCTACGCATTGACTAGGAATCTGACAGCTGTCCAGCCTAATAACCTCAATGAGCGGGTGCTTCTTAACCAAATATGGAATGAATGGGTGTGCTGCCAAGGTCTTGCAGTAGGGGGTCAAGTTGAACGATTCCAGTGCCTCAACACCAAGAACGACAAGGTCTATATGTGCTCGCAGTGAAGATGAAGCTTCATGAACACTTTATTGAGATGGCTCAGAATAGGTGGTATGAGACGACAGAATTGACCAGGATTCATCATGGAGCCGGCATACGCATATATCATCAAAGGACAGGCACTGCAAGTCGAAACACGGCTATTGTACATTCCTTCCTTCTTTCTAATCTTTATTGTTCATTTTATAAGCATACAATAGATATTTCACGATTCGAATGCCGTTTTGTTGCTATCTACAAGATCTCCATAGATTTTTGGAGCCAACGAAGCTATCGCCACAGCCGAACCTACGCTTCCACTCCCGGTCCGTGGTGTTTTTTGATGACACAGTGAAGTCCCGCTCCGCTGCAGGACAAGCAGGGGGGCTTCTTTCAGATCTCTGATCAAGCGTTCGCAGGCGGTAATTGAACGGATAAAGGTGTTGAAATGAGCCGGAGATGTTTTTTCTATACATTTCGAAGCTTCCAGCGTCCGGTCCGGTCCGGCCTCGTCATGTCTTGTCTTGCCAGAAAAGCTGATGGATAGAGATGGGGTGTGTTTAAGAATCGCCAGAATGTGGGGTAGGAAGACAAGAGACGTTGACCGGGAACAATTGCCGGCCCCGCAGAAGATCTAAGTTTACAGCTGCATCTACGTTATCAATAGATGAAGTCTTGTCTAGTCAGTATTGATCTTTAGCTTTATCTTTGAAAACCAAGGAAGACCAGACGAACTGCAGACTATTGACCAAAAGTGATTAATACAAAGGTCAATCCTGGATAGAGCGGCCTCGTTATCGGAGCCGATAAACCGACTTCAAAGTCGGTGGCCAAAATGCAAAATATTTGCCCAGAACCGCCTAGACCGATCTCGGGGTACGTATATTCTGTACCTGGTCATCATGATTGCCTCCGCTCCGATGACAACTCCGGTTCAAGATATGAGACTGTCCGTCCGTTATGGCCTGGAACAAGTCTTATCATCTATCAGCTCCGTGACGGAAGGGCCGGTGGTACTCAGCCTCGATTATAGCCCGACCGGCGACCGGCAGGTTTCAGGCATGCAGTTTGTTCCCATGCTTTAACCTCAGGGTATAAGAAAAATTGACCGCTGGGAGCATAAGAGATAAAATAATTAGGGCAGCTTATGCCACTTAGACTATGGTTCTTAGGCTACTTATTTCTATACTCTAAGACTTAGGAGACCAGCTTTTCTGCTACCCACTAGCTTTATTATGAGGAGCTCTAGTTATGACTGTCAAATAAAATGCTTGAGCCAGGCGAAGTTGGCCGAATCATCAAGGAGAGGACTGGTAATAGGATACAGCTAGGTAGGTAGTCCGCGCAATAATCTAATTGCCAGAAATAGGATTCGGGAAGGCACTTGGCAATGAATGAATCACTGGTCGATCTACTTCTTACCCTATGGTGCTGTTGTTGAAATCAGGGGTTAGTATTGAGGCACAAGAAACTGTCACTTACTGATATGTTGACCGACCACTCCGGTATGGCATATCGCTCAGTCTACATTTTCACCTTAACAATATCTGTAAGATTGACATTACTACTCTACCATGACCAATTCAGGTTTCGACATGTGCAGACAAGTTGACCTTGCAATCGAAAACACCCAATACACTCAGAAGCTAAAGCCTTCCCAAAAGTCAGGAGAATAGAAACAAATGCAGTTCTGCCTGGTATTTTACAGTGATATCAAGTGATTCAATATATGTTGATACCTGGTCAGTCATACTGTCGCTGTTTTTGTGAGACTAAAGCAATTTCATATAGGTAGGTAAGATGTAGTTCAACACTAGAAGCACAGCAGACCTCCTTTATACATATCTGGTGAAACAAGAACCAGCAACTCTGGTGGCTGCGTGGTTTTCTAGAAAAGCCCCGGGCATCCTCGCTGACTACAATACCGACGTGTGTGAATTGAGACGCGTGAGCTGCAACCTCATATATAGCACCACGTCGAAAGTCTCAGCCTTTGATATGACCTATCCCACGAGTGGATTGGCAGACGGTCAGAATTCTGCGGCCAAAGGTATTGGGCCAAGGACGGTTCGTTATATGTAAGTTCATTTGGCTTGCTCTTGACAGAATGGCAGATGACGGAGTAATACGGGAAGGCCCATTCAACTCCCTTGGAAGAGTTTGCGACAACATGCTATCTGAACTCATCCTGTGGGGTAGCTCGCATAGCGCCAGTACGGAGAGCCCAAATCAGAAGCCACTTGATAAAGCATAGGCCGCTGTCGAGGATATCGGTAAGTTCGTTGATACACTGAACAGTCTCACGGTATGGAATAACCTGGATATCCCATTGGCCATCCAGTTGATTAGAATACAATGAACATTTTGAGAGTGATAGACATGGTGAGGTTGTTTGTGGTACGGCATTAGGTAATTGCCTACCACATGTTTCTAGCGAAGACAATACCCATTGATGCATGGCATGAGGAGATGGTCACATCTCCACGACAAGCGCGATACTGGAGCTAAAAAGGGACAAAATAAAATAAAGAATGAGGAGAGCCCCACATTAGATCCAGCCCTACATGGTATCCCGCTCAGTCATGTGGTGCCCCACATCGGACCGAACAGTCACGTGTGTCCCTCCACCTCACATATCTCGAAATGGAGACATTGGACAACACAAGTACTTTGATCCACCATTTCTCGATGGAAAAAAACGCAAAAAAATTCTGCAATCTGCTACTGATAGCTGATTACATAAGCCCATGGCGAGACTCGAACTCGCAATCTTCTGATACGCTCTAGACAACTGATGTGATAAATAACACAGTTTGCTTAGAAGTCAGACGCGTTAGCCATTACGCCACACGGGCTTATTTATGTGCTTGTTGAGGTAAGTGAGTTACTATTTTAGTCTATAGATAATATAGGGTTCGTTGAATATTTCTTAGTTTCTCTCGATATCAAGCTCATCTTCCTCCTCCTTCGCCCTCATTACCGTTCCAGCCGAGCTCTAACAGATCATATGTAAGCCCTCCTTCAAGATTGATGCTCTGGTCTAGATCTTAATCTATCTTGTGGTAATGTAGAGTCACTGTGCAGTGTCTGGGTTGCATAGCAGTTCGGATATCTGAGACCTGGGCGCGTAATGTTGATCCAAATGTGTATCACATTATCCTTAGCTTTGAGGTCGCGATTAATTAAGCTTCAGAAATGCCCCGATACCGGCTTAGCATTCCTTGTAATGACTTATGCTTTCCTGCGGTTGCCTGGGAGTCTCATCTTGGTGCTGGTCTTCTGTCACGGCCTCCGTAGCGGCCAAGGTGCAGTACCTTACGACTATATGCTCGCTAGCTAAGGCAAGCTTGGCATAGAGTGCACTAGCCAGGGAGTAGGTTTCGGGATCAAATGGCTCGTCGATACGAACATCTTACTTTATCTTCTGACGCCACCGAGAGCCTGGTGAGATATCACCATCCCTTACAGGCTTGTATCGACCATGCAGAACCCAACCGACAAACTTGTCTTCGAAAATCACGAATGACACGGTGATGCTGAGAAAAGAGTAATGGTTAATGAATGTGATGATAGGAAAGCCTCAATCGGTACCTGATTAGGCAAGGTGAGGCAGGATATGTGCAAGTGCTACATGCTAGTTGCTGAACGTTTGCAGACTCTGTCAAAGACGAAATGTAAGTATAAGAAGCACCCTAAATTTTCCATCTACCTAATCTAACCCAGCTAGACTTCCAGAAGGTTCCTCGTACGGGCTGCTGCTTATCCAAAGGCGACCTGCAGCTAAGGAAATATAACAAACAACCAATAACCAGCAAACTACTAAGGTAATGAGCTCAGGCAGGCAGCAGGTCTGCCTAACAATCGGCATCAAAAACCGTACCCATGTAACGCAATCACCTACCTACATACACCCACTCTTCTACCTACTGCAGTAGACCTGCAACGCAAGATACGTTCTTGTGTCCTCCCTTGTTCACCCCTTTGACATTCTCATGAACTAAATATCTACTGGTTAGTACTTCTCGTCTGCCTCACTATACCTATATATATTTGCGTTGAATGTTTAGCGGTAGCCGTCGCCATAACCAAGGGCAAGAACAAAGTGTTTGACACTGATCATTTTCGCCTTGCGGTTCGGAATCTCCAAGACTCAAACAAGGTGCTCGACTCTCTTCAAAAGGTCGCGAAAGCCAACGAAGTTCTTGATCACTGCCGCGAGGTTCTTTCTTGTCCTTTGGAGCATCTACGAATGCATAAAGGAGTTTTCAATGAGTTTAAATTATATCTACCTGAGTTCCCATCAAAAAATGCCGTCCCAAAAAATAATCCCAAAAAGCATCCGATACCTTGTAAACTCTGATGGCTTGCATCCCAATGTTTACCCGTGATGACACATGCTCGTGTACCTGCTGTACCCGGGGCGCCTGCAGCATGTCTGAGCCCGAAGTGACTTGTGATTACAATATAGTGGCCCGGGAGATGTCTTGTGTTTAATCTCAAAACTAAGGTATCGGTCCAAAAAGAAAGCCACACCTCCTCGGACGAGGTGTTTGAACCTTCAGTCAATCCTTATGCCAACGCCGGTAAGGCCAGCATTGAGAGGATCATCGATCAAGTCACAGAGAGTCGTAAACAGGGCAAGAAGTTCTTCGACGATTAGCGTTGGCCTTTGTCAGGCTCTCGATCGGTGATGCCACGTATCATTGCCGCGTTTGTGGTAGTCGTCCTGAATCATCTGGAGCCGCTCAATAACCGCCTTTTGTCTTTCGTAATCATTATCCATGTCATGAAAACTGTTAGTATCGTCAGAGGAGTCGGTGTCATTGTCTCAAGGGCATTGACATTGACGTCTTGAGGGTTGGCATGAAGACCGCCAGTATCGTTGCTTTCTTCTTCCTCGTCGCTTGAAATCGAAATTGGAGATGGAGGTGTTGGGTCAGACGAGTGTCTGCCATTTGTACCACGAAGCGGCGATGGCAGCACCGCCTTTAGTCCTCTACGATAGACCAAAAACGAAGCTAGGGTAAAATCGTCGGTCTGGGTGCCTACATCTCTGGTGTTCGCAGGACCGACTGTACCGCCAGGTGAGATGTTTGGACGGCGAGATGGACCAGAGGTATCCTTGCCAACGTCACCAGATTGGCTGGACGCAACGGCAGACATGGCTGTGGCTGTTTCGCTTGCCACGCTGGTGTGTGAAGTGACTGCCGAACGCTGAAAGGACGGGCCAGCTGCGTCTTCCTAAGACGGCTGTCCATCCTCATGATTCTGCTGAGACCTATCGAAGGCCTTATTCTTGCCCTTGGCCATGGTGAACAACGGCTATCGCTAAGGGTTCAAGCGTTAATATACAAAGACACAAACAAAAACAACGAGTACTAACCAGTGCGATATTCAGTTCATGAGGATGCAGAAGGGGTGAAAACGGAGGACAAGAGATCGTATCTTGTGTGATATAGACATGCTACAGTGGTAGAAGAGGTTGGTAGACGAAGATCAAGGGTGAAGGAAGCTTGGGGGATGAAGCCTAAGAGATAACAATTGAGGGATGAATCTTGAGAATGAAGGAAGAAGCTTGAGGGATGAAGGATGAAGCTTGAGGGATGGAGGTTGGGGTATAAAGGTTGGGAGATAGAAAAGTGTTTGAGGGGTTAGAGCTTGAATGATGTAATTCCTTGACAATCAAATGAAGCGTTTCAAAGAATCTCTGTCTGAGCTCCTGGAAAATGACCTATTAGCCTTGAAATGCTCTAACAAAACAATAGAAACTAGAGGGTCCTAGGAGGATTCCCAAAACTAGAGCTTTGAATCACTAAATTCATCCTTAGACAAGCACTAGTGCAATCATAACTTCTGCCTTGGGCATCTTGACGTTGTATGTGCACGTGCGATCTATTTGTCTGTAGAAACTAGATCAAGTACGTACATGGTCAGATCTATCAATCCGTTTACAAGCCATCTCCTATAGATATTGCAGTAAAAACAGAAAAAAAGACAGAATAGCATAGAAGTAAATATGAGGTGGCGAGTCATCCAAGATAGATGCTCTTAACAGTACGGTATCAGTAGTTCAACAATAATAATCGAAATTATACCCCAAGGGTTATTCATCATTCCATAAGCAAACGTACGCCTTCGCTAAATGTACGATCTAGGCTGTTGTACAAAAAGTTATTGACGAGTTCCAAAACACCGTATTCTAGCATGTTCCACTGTCTCGTCCAAAAGTCATCATTCCACGCTCCACTATAAACTTTCAACGCACTCGATCCTCCTGCTTACGACATTGTTTTCATAAAGTCGTCCAGGTCGAAGCTCTCCTCGTACTGCTTGTTGTCCCATAGCTCTCCCAAATCATCCAGCCATGCCTTCTTTCCTGGTGCACGTACGTCACCTGTTTCGATATCTACCATGTCCTCCTCCCTTCCATCGATGTTGTTCTTCTCCTTGTCGGCCAATAGATTTGGCGCGGCATCGCCGACATTGAAGAGATCCAGAATCTGATCCGTATCCATTGTCGAGAGGCCAGCGTTCTGCTGGTTCACGACAGTCGATGCGACGTCAATCTTGAACCGCTGGAGATTCAGAATCTTCTCCTCCAGGGTTCCACGAGTGATGAGTCGGTACACGTTGACCACCTTCTTCTGTCCAATACGATGGGCTCGGTCCATGGCCTGGAGATCTTTCTGGGGGTTCCAGTCATGCTCGACAAAGATGACCGTATCAGCACCTGTCAAGTTCAAACCGAGACCTCCAACGCTAGTGGTCAGCAAAAGCACGTCGTAGGACGGGTCGCTGTTGAACTTGTTGACAATGTCTTGTCTCTTGTTGGCTTCCACAGAACCGTCGAGTCGGAGGTGCGACACTGAGGGCAGCAACTCCTTCAGAACCTTGTTCTGTACCATGTCGAGCATTTCCTTCATCTGACAGAAGATGAGTGCGCGATGAGGCTTGATTGGTTGGTAAAGAGGGTCGTTTGAATCGTTGCCTTCAACACCAATACCGCAATCCACCAGGAGATCTCGTAATGCGGTAAGCTTGGGTGCATGCTGTGCGTCTTCAATCGAAGTTCCCTGCTTGGCAAGAATCTTCTGCGTATCATCATAGAGGCTGCTTCCGGGCTTCATAACCATGGCAGGGGAGTTGCATAGCTTCCTCATGTACTGAAGAGCTTGGAAAATATGTTGCTTGGCTTCCTTATCTTCTCTGCCGGCCTCCGCCTGGATCTTCTTGCCTTGTTTCCTGGTAAAGTCCTCAAAGAGCTTCTGCTGTAAGTCACTCAAGTCGCAGTAGTAGTTCTGCAAGATCTTTGGTGGGAGATCGTTCAAGACTTCTTCCTTGAGACGGCGCAGCAAGAACGGCAGGACTTGTTTGTGAAGTGCCTCGATAGCCAACGCGCCTGCTTCCTGTTCCTTGGATGATGCTTTGCTGAATCGGCTTGCAGCGATAGGCTTCGCGAAGCGATCCAAAAAGACCTTTTCAGCACCCAGGAAGCCAGGCATCAAAAAGTCAAATAGAGACCACAGTTCCAAGACATTGTTCTGGATAGGGGTGCCTGTAAGAATGAGACGATGGTTGCTAGCCAGCCTCTTGACAGCCTGTGTGATCTTGGCCTTGGGGTTCTTGATCAAATGACCCTCGTCAAGTACGACATAATTCCAGCTGTGCTTACCCAGAATTTCTGAGTCATTACGGCAAACATCATAGGATGTGACCACGACGTCAGTCTCGCCGAGTCTGTCTTTGAGCGCCTTTCTCTCTGCGGGTGGCCCGACGTATGCAGTGACGCTCAAAAACGGCGCATATGTCTTGATTTCCTGTTGCCAATGTCCCGAGAGCGTGGGTGGGCAAACAA